AAGGGGAGGAAATTTTCGTAAGGTCACAAAAGCCCCCTTCGAGCTTCAAAACCCTGCCGAATAATAAACCCAGCTTGATTCAGAAAGAGAACGCGCACAACGAGAAAAAGCTACTTTAGAAAGAAAAAGAAAAAAAAAAGCTACGTGGGAAGTCAGTAAAAGGTAGTGAGAGCTCGAGAATTGTTCATAGACAAACCTTTTACTTCAACAACTACAAATACACGGCATTCACAAACCTGAAGGAATGAAAATTCCATCCCAACTTTCAACACTCCAGCTGCAGGCGAGGGAGAGAGACGCACAGAGAGAGAGAGAGAGAGAGAGAGAGAGAGAGAGAGAGAGAGAGAGAGAGAGAGAGAGAGAGAGAGGTCAAACCTGTGGCAACGATTTGAAAAAGTGAGAAACGACACATGATCAAATGACCATGAGGTCGAAAGAGAGAAAGCCAAAAAGACTGAGCTTCAGACGCCGGAGATGCTCAGTCACATTTCTGATGAGATGCCCATTAGCATCTGCTTGACAGGGAGAACAGAAAGAGAGCCCCAAAAAGATTCCCTCCTTCCTTCGACCAAAAGAGATCCGCAAATCGAGAGCAAGAAACAGAGCGCGATTGTTAGAAGCGTTTCTCAGACGTCCAACTTGCCTGGCTGCACATTGGAACCGGAGCTCTGCTGTAGGCCACCTCCAGCGACAGAAGGGGCGAGGGGGGAGAGAGGTAGTGAGGCAGAGAGAAGCAGATAGAAGCAGATAGAGGCAGAGAGAGAGGCAGAGAGAGAGGCAGAGAGGGAGGGAGAGAGAGAGGCAGAGAGGAAAGCAGAGAGGGAGAAACGGAGAGACCGAAACAGATGGAGAGAAGGAGAGGCAGAGGAGGCGAGAGGGAGAGAGACGGAAAGGGCGGAGAGAGGGAGAGAGGGAGAGACAGAGGGAGAGGGAGAGAGAGGGACCAGGAGAAAGAGAGGGGGAGAGGGAGGGGGAAGGGGAGAGGGAGGCAGAGGGAGAGAGGGAGATGGAGAGATGGAGAGATGGAGAGATGGAGAGGGAGAGGCAGAGGGAGAGGGAAGGAGACAGACAGACAACGAGACAGACAGACACGCACACAGAGAGGAAACTGGTGGAATCTGTTGTCAGAAGTTGAGCTCGTATACATGCATGTCAGATCCTTAAGACTCTCAATTGTTTCTGCTGCCTGGGAGTCTCACGAGAGAGAGAGAGAGAGAGAGAGAGAGAGAGAGAGAGAGAGAGAGAGAGAGAGAGAGAGAGAGAGAGAGAGAGAGAGAACGGCGTGACAGGCTGTCAGACATCGAGCTTGTCTAGCTGCATCGCAGATCCGAAGGTCTGGATCATCTCCTTCCTGGGGCCTACCTTGTCCCCCATGAGTATGGTGAACGTCCTGCTCGCCTCCACCGCATCTTCGATGGTTAACAGCTTCAGCATCCGTCTCTTTGGGTCCATGGTCGTTTCCCATAACTGATCAGGCATCATCTCTCCCAATCCCTTGAATCGTTGGATGGAATACGACGCATTCTCCGGAAATGTCTTGCTTGTCAATTTCCTAAGTTCCTCCTCATCATAGCAGTAGAAGACGGACCTCCCTCTGTCCACCTTGTACAGCGGCGGCACACCCACATACACATGGCCATTCTCGAACAACGACCTCTGATACCTAAATAGGAAAGTGAGGAGGAGGGTGCGAATGTGCGATCCGTCCACGTCCGCATCTGTCAGGATAATTACCTTATCGTATCTTAAATTGGAAAGATCGTATTCCTCTCCTTTTATCCCCAATCCTAGAGCAATGATGAGGTTTTGAATCTCCTCGTTCTTGTAGATGGCAGCATCATCCTTCTTCTCCACGTTGAGGATTTTGCCGCGCAGCGGGAGCACAGCCTGGAACCACCTATCTCTCCCTTGCTTGGCGCTGCCCCCAGCGGAATCCCCCTCCACGATGAAAATCTCCGAGAATCTTCGGTCGCTACACGTGCAATCTGACAATTTGCCGGGAAGAGTCGAGGATTTCAGCACGTTCTTTCGTCGGACTAGTTCCCGCGCTTTTTTCGCGGCTTCCGCCGCCTTGAACGCTTGAATCGCTTTGTTCAGAATCGCTTCCAGCTCAGATGGATGACTCTCTAAGTACTCCTGAATGCAATCTAGGACCACCACGTCTACCACCTTTCTTACCTCGGGATTGCCGAGCCTGGTCTTGGTTTGACCTTCGAATTCCGGATTAGGTACTTTGACCGAGACGACAGCAGTCAGACCTTCTCGGATATGGTCGCCAGCAAGGTTCTCGTCCTTCTCCTTGAGGATCTTGGCCTTCCTGCCGAGCGAATTGACAGCTCTCGTGAGGGCCACTTTCAATCCGTCTAGGTGCGTCCCCCCGTCTGTCGTTCGGATGCTGTTGGCATAGCCAAGCAACGTGTCGGTAAACGAATTTCGACACCATTGTACTGCCACATCAACCAGTACGCCATCTTGCTCTCTGGAAAAAGATATAGTGTCGTGGATTTTGTCCTTGTCCGAATTAAGCCAGTCGACGTACTCCTTCAGGCCTCCAGCAAAGTGAAACGTACTCTCTCTCCTCTTCCTCCTCCTCCTCGACTTCTCCTTCTCCTTGTCCCTCACCATCTCTTCTTCTTCTTCTTCTTCTTCGATCCCCCCTCTGCTGCTGCTGCGGCGGCGGATCGCTTCTTCTTCTTCTACTTCTTGTGCTTTCTCCTCCTCTAGCCTCTCCTCCTCCTCCTCCTCCCCCTTTACCACCTCCACCTCCTCCTCTTCCTCTTCGGCAATAAGATTTATCGTCACGTCCTTGTTGAGGAACGCGAGCTCGCGAAGCCGACTCGCGATCGTGCCGTAATCTATTTTCGTTGACGTCACAAACACTTGCCGATCTGGGGTGAACTCTATCCTCGTGCCTGTGCGAGACGACGCCGCCGGGATCCCTTTCTCATCCTCATCATCTCCCGAAAGAGGGGTGCTGATCACTTCGGAAGTCGGGGTCCCTCTCTCATACGTCTGGACGAACTCCATCCCGTCCCTCCAAACTGTCACCTTTAGCTTCTCCGACAACGCGTTCACAACGGAGAGCCCGACCCCGTGCAGCCCCCCGGAGACGCGATACCCACTGCTCTCCCCACCAAATTTCCCGCCAGCATGAAGCACCGTCAGGACAGTCTCGATGGCCGACTTCTTCGTCACAGGATGAATATCTGTCGGGATCCCGCGCCCGTTGTCTGTGATGCAGACGGATCCACCGTCAGCAGCGCCGCCGCCGCCGCCGCGCAACACCACATCGACACATGTGGCATAACCTGCTTGAGCCTCATCGATGGCGTTATCTAAGACCTCGTAGACCAAGTGATGAAGACCGCGAGGTCCAGTGCTGCCAATGTACATTCCAGGCCTGCGCCGAACAGGATCCAACCCCTCAAGAACCTGGATCTGGGAGGCATCGTAATCCCCCCCCCCTCTCGATCGCACGGTTGTCGGCGGCGAAGGCAACGAAGAAGGCGTTGAAGTTGTACCACTGGAACTCCCTCCATTCACCCTCGCCGGAGCACCTGCTGCTTCTGCTTCTACTTCTGGTCCTGATTCTGGTCCTGATTCTGAAGGAGGAGGAGGAGGAGGGGAGGTCTCGTGATTCACTTCATCAACAACCTCTACAGCCGCCGGGCGACTAGAGGCCTCCGCTTGGGCGAAGAAGCGTACACCCCGCGGCGATCGCGATCCCGACGCTGCGCCGAACCCGCCTCCACCACCGAGCAGGAGGTCCGCACAAACCCCGCCGAAAGTCCTCATCATTATGGCGGGAAAACCCGACCGCCCACGAAGAGGCACCAGTATTCGACACGTGGCAGCAGCGGCGGCGGCGTTATTGGATTTAACAATAATAGACTGACCAGGCATCATTGTCACCCCCGACGACGACGACGAAGAAGACCAGGAGGAAGAGTTGGTGGAGGAAACAGACATAGCCGCCGCCGCCGCCGCCGGCGACATAGGCGGAGATGGCCCGGTGTTCACCATCGTCATTCTCATCACATTCTTAGGAGGGCGCAGCACGGCCGAGAGAGACAACTCCCTCTCTTGTCCTCGAACGCCTGCCCTTCTGCCCATCATCCCCATCTCCATCTCCATCCCCATATCCATCTTCTTCCGGCTCTTCTTCTTCCTCGTATCCTGCACCCGCGCCATAGACGTAGCAGATAGCTCCGCATGCGCCCGCACCCAGCGGTCGCCCTCTTCCCCTGGCCACCACCCAACCTCCTTCCTCCCCCCCTCTCCCCATACCGATCCCGACCAGCGACCAAAATGCCACTGATGGGAAAGATACGGTCTTCCCTCACGACGACACGTGGCAGCAGGAACAAGCCTCCTGCCTTCAACTCTCCTTCTACATCCCACCGCCGACCCGTTACCTCTCTTCACACACGATCCTGAGGTCGCGTCTTGCCAATTCAGACGGGATCGGGATGGATAACCAATCGGCACGGAGGAGAAGGAACTAGAGGAGGAGGGAGAAGAGGAGGAGAAGAAAGAGGAGGAAGAGGAAGAGGAAGAGGAAGGGGAAGAGGAAGAGGAAGAGGAGGAGGAGGAAGGGATGCTGTTCAAGGTCACAGATTCAAATCTTGAACGGGAGCTTAACGAGTAATTACTATGTCGTAATATAGCAATGGCTTCAGATATAACTCCAGCTCGATTCGTACGCGTAGGAAGATCCAACGGTCGACATCTCACCGACTGACATTCGCGTCGAAGGCATCCAGCAAGATGGCGGGAGGAAAACCGCGCCATCGGCATTTCGACAGCGACAGACCAAGCTTCCATATCTCGAACAAAACCCGGCGAGTGATCAGAGAGCGACACGTGGACGCTCTCTTCTTCTTCTTCTTGTGGATCACCTGCCGGTCTCTTTGACGACTTTCGTTCCTGCGTTCCTCGTTCTGACGCCTGTAAGAAGAGATCCGCTATGGTAGTACAGTAGCTACTCTTGTTGGAAGGGTGAGCTTTGTCCCCCTCATCTGTGGGTCCCTTATGGAAGTCCCTCCGCCGTTCAGAGGTTGATTGATCACTGATTACTGACAGCAACGGCGATGAAGATTTCCATAGTCAGCAGCTCTCGGATTTCAGCCCTCTCTCTCTCTCTCTCTCTCACTCTCAGCTCCTTGAGAGAGCGGGGGAAGAGAGGGAGGGAGATGTTTTAGCGGTTTCGCATTGGCAGCACTAATCCCTGCGATGGTTCTCACGGCTTCAAAACAAAACCAGAAAAAGGGGGAAAAAAACAACTGCGCAAATCCTCCCGTGCCCTCTCCCCGCCTCTCTCTCGTGCCCTCTCCCTGGCCATGTTCTAGCGGTAAGTTCATTCTCATTTTGCACATAGTAGGACTTTTTCGGCTCAGCTCTGGACGTGATTGCAGTCAGGTACATTCAGAAAAGTGCTGGTGTGAGTATGCCCTCAAGAGGTCTCGTTGCACAGCACTCTCAAAACTCTGGAGTTCTAAGGGCCTCCTTTGCTTGGTATTAAAAAAGGGCCTCCTTTGCTTAGTATTAAAAAAGGGCCTCCTTTCACCACTACCCATTCGACATTCTTCTGTTCTTTTATTTGTTTTGGGGTAAATTGCATCCGTACCCTGTTTGAGGAGGGGAATTCCCTTTGTACCCAGTCCCAGTGCCTATATGGTCTCGCTCCAGTACTCTGCACTCTCAAATTTGCAAGACTCGGCCCTCGCTCCACCAGCGGTCCTTGTGTTAGCCGGGCCCCCACCGGGGGCCCCAACCCTGCACCCTAAACGCTAGGGCAAAGCGGTAACTCCATCCACCCAGAGGTAGAAAGCTATGCTTGCAGGGGTCCCCTGTATAGCCTTCCGAGTAGTCGTGGGTCGTGAAAGGAACACGATATGTTCCATGACATGGCAGAACGCCAGTTAAAATACGTGAGGTGAGGGGAAAATATATATAGCTCTCCCCCGATGAGGAGAAGGACTCGGAAGAGATTCGCTTGGGGAGGACAGGAGAGGAGTACAAGATTAAGGTGCTGGCGGACGATCTCTTCACGGTGTCCCAGAATCAAAGCAAGTCTCTAGCCACATTGTAAACACGCTTGATGCAGTACAGAGAAATCTCAGAAGCTGCAATCAATTAGAGCAAATCCGTATTCTTTTTTCCACCTGACTTCTCTCTGAAAGCAAATTGGGGCATGAAGAGGATCGTCGCAAGAGAAGCAGAGCGGTTCTTCAGAGTATCGATAGTAATGGAAGATTGCTCCTCAACGGGTCATCCTGCAAGGAAAAAAAAAGTGCTCAAGCGGATAAAGACATGGGGACCAAACAAAACACACGTCCCTGACTTTCAGCTACTCTGCCTTCACTTACTATGGTACGTGACCATGGTGAGAGAACTACCGAAGGATGTACTCAAGGTCGTTAAAGTTGCTGCAAAAAAATTCTTGTGGGAGCCTGGGGCGAGCAATGAGGAAGGATAGCTGCCAAAAGCGGCATGGGATACAATCTGCATGCCAAGGGAGGAGGGAGGTCTGGCCGTCACGGATCCGCTAACACAGAACAATATTCTTCTCATCAAAAGGATAGGCAAAACAAAGAAAGCAAATGCAGATGCATATTGGTGCCTCTTGGCAGAACTGTTCCTCACCAAAAAATGGCGCTTGGAGAGGGCGTCTGATGTATAGGTAGCTGCAATGACGGAGTGTGATGCCCCACCTCACACCCAACACGGCTTTCTGTTTCGGAGTGGGAGTGGGCCCAAAAGTGCGTGAAAGGGGAGTGCCAAGGATTTTAGGAAAGTGGGGGTGGGGTCCCAAGTTGGAACTGAGATCCCCGGTGTCAAGTTTCAAGGACAGAAGTGCAAGTGGTTCAGTGAAGGACAAGGGTTTCTGATCTACCCTTCCCAGAGTCGGGCGGCTAGTTTCGTAGCAGGCCTTATTGCCGGGAGCGGGTTCGTATTCTGTGTACAGAGGGAAAGCGGTGAACGTCTTTCTCTTTCAACACATGTCATCGGCGGTGTCGGTGTGAATGCCCTTACAAGGGTATCCGCCCTGGGTTTTTACAAGTGACAGAAAATAAGTTTAGCTTAAACAATTTGAGCATAACTGCGCGAGGCGCAGTAGTGACTGAGGGCTACGTTGGCCGAATAGTTGACCGACGTAGAGGGTGTGTGAGCGCGTAAATCTCAAGGCGCGCGTGTGATTCTTTCTTTCGGTTGTATTGCCATAGGGCCTGCATAGTTGACCAGGCCTAGATTCCCCATGGATGGTTAAGTTTATTAGTTTTACGACGCTTTTGGTTCGGTATGATTGACCGACAGTGGGGTCTGACGAGTAAAAGAAGGGCGTATAGTGGTTATGGTATGACTCAGGTAAGCTGATGTGAGTGTGCGGAGGCCGCGCAACTGGGTGGAGGCAGAAGTAAGGCCCAAGTCAAATTTTTGGCCTCGGAGTCTAGCGCGACACCGTTTTATATAGGATTCTCCGTTGGCTGGTCCCAGGCTTGTGCTTAGCCCTATTGGTTACGACACTGAACTCGTATGGCGGAGGTACGGGGTTCGAGGCTAGCGAGCGTCGGGGCAGGAGCAATGGAGCGTAGGTCTCGAATAGTACCTTGAGGCAATACTATGGTCGGAGTCCTTCGTGACATCCGTTAAAATTGGAACGATACAGAGAAGATTAGCGTGGCCCCCGCTGTCGACCCACATTTTGCCTGTAGGAGTTGGGGAGTAAGCAGGCTGTCGGAGGGTACACGAAACAGAGTGTGTTGGGGCGTTGCGGGGAGGCTCACGAAGATACCGCCGTGCAGATCGATTGTCGGAGTGGGTATATGGGCGACCGGCTAATAGAACTACCTTGCGGTCTGGCTCCCTCCGAATTGTTTCTCTCAATAGCTGAGGCAGTAAAACAGCGTTAGTATACTACGGTGGAAGTAAGTACTACCGGGCGCTGCTCAAAAGGGGAGGTGAGCGCTGGGACGTACGAGCGGAGTTGTCGTCAACAGGCGGACGACGAACTTGAAGGGATGGCCGAGGGGGAAGGTGCAAGAAGCAGGGAGTCGAGCTCGCCTATTCCTTAATGAACTTGGGTGGCGTAAAGTCTGATCCTGAGGTCTTCGGCCAGGGCGAAACGATTGATGCGGTCAGAACGGCGGGGAAGTAAGTGGAAAGAGAGGTTAGTAGAGATGGGTGTGCACGATGATGTTGTGAAAGTGGTTATGGTGGGAGCGGAAAGCGTGGGTTTCGACCAAATCTCCACGAAACTGGGCGAAGTGAAGTTGTATGTGAGGCTCTTGGACCACCACGAACGGGATAGTGTTAGCAGGCTTGGCATTGGGAGCGTGAGTTCAGCGGGGTAACAATTTTGGGCTGCGTAAGGGAAAGGAAGCAGAAGCGGGATGCATCTGTCCACATTTTTGCGACAGATTCATTCCAATTTCTGCCCTCGCCATAGAGGGAACTTGAAGTAGCGGGGACCAACTGTGGGGTCGGAGACCCACTTATGGATTAATGCGTTGTCCAACTTATCTATAGGGACAACCTCTCTCGTACTCCTCAAAGTGCACAATCGAAAAAGTGCATACTTCCATACGCTGGCGAAAGGTTCATTTTAGTTTGAATGAGGGAATCGGGGTGTGCTAGGAGGGCTAGTCAGCTAGCTGAAATCTAAACGATATTTTGGGAGTATACCCAGTGGGAGGGAGTGGGTGAAGGAGGAAGACGGGAGGCGAGGAGAACGCATACCTACCTTGCCAGGAGGGATTCAACTTTCACCGTGTTCATGCCGCTCGGGCCATCCAAGGAGCTACCTAGGTACGCCGACCGAAGGAGGAAGCGGGAACTCACCTCGATTTGCGAAGCACTGAGCTGGTGATCCAGGGTGGACCCAAAAGCCGAGCCACGGTGTGTAGGCTGCGCATGCGAGTGATCGTTTCGAGCCGAGCACTCGCATGAACATGAGCCTCATGTCGATTACGTACGCGAATGAGAGAGGAGGGAGAGGGATGATCACTTACCTGGCTAAGTCGGTGCTGTAGCGGGCTACGCCAGGCCACGCAATTTCCTACGGTCTAGCGGAAGATTCATTTCCGCTCTGCACAGTGCTGAGTATGGAGGCGAGGAACGGAAGTAGAAGGGCAGAAGTTGTGTTGTCCTCCGTGCTCATCGTTTGGCCTTATCGTGCTGATGTCACCGATGCTGCTGTGTTGGCCTAGTTCGTAGTCCTGATATTGGCGGAAGACTCTTACATCCTTCGGATGCCAGGCGCATGCAGAAAGGAATGAGGCCCTTCCCTTAAGTAACGAGGAAGTGGGCAGCGGATTGAGGATCCATTTGCAGACAGGTACTACTTATCTCGTTGATTGGGGTACCGGCGGAAGAACTACGAGATTGACGGAAGTGGCATGAGGTCGGTAGCCAGGGGACAGATAGAGCGCAGGGTGAACAGTTCGCAGCCAAGCCAGCAAGTGGACTGTTGTAGCGAGCCAAGCCTGTACGAGCAGAGAGCGCAGTTACGTGTAGCTCTACACTGAGAGCTTCGAGGGGCGGCCTGCGTTGAAGGGAGAGTGAGGTGGGAATCAGGAGGTGAAACATATGTGTCTGGTTACAGTGGCAGTCTGCCGATTCAAGCAGCTGGCAGAGTGAGCAGTCTGCGGGGCCGGCGGGCTGCAGTTTTTGCATAGACGAGTGTTATAATTGCTATTGCTTGAGAATGGTTAGTGTGGCTGAGGCTGGCTGCTGCACATTGCTGTTGGCCGTGGCATACTACGGCTGACTGCTGCGAACGAACGTTGTTGTCTATCGACTGAGCACTGATGCCGCTTCTTTTTTTTGGTCGTGGATGAGTTGTGGCTAAGCTGCTGGCAATTGCTACAACTGCTACCTACTGTTAGTTGTTGCATACTACCGCATACCGCCGTGGCTGTTTGCTGACTATTACGACATGCAGTGCAGCAGCGTTTGGACTTAGAGGAGGGACTAAGTCGGGGAAGGAAGGTTGGTGCTGCAATTTGAGGGGTCGGCAGAGGGTTGGCCTTGACAGTCTGACTTCAGAGTTTGACCAAGCTGCTACAGTTTGGCCATCATTGCGGGGCCCTCAGACGCTGAAGATACCAAGGCCCTCTCTTGCGAGTCTGAGAGCACCCTCCTTGGATCTGAGAGTCTAAAACCCTCTCTTTCTATCTTTCTAACTCTAAGTCTAGTTTACTGGTTCTGA